AGTTAGGACTTCCCCTGTCAGTGGCTAAAAAGATTAAATCACCCAGTCATGGATCACCAACCAATGATGGATCATTCGTCAGGCAGATTATATGGATTCTTGCCATAGTTATATCCTACACTTAGCGCCGAAGATAAGGCACTATGTAAAAGTAATGAGACTGCCATCCGTCACGATTTGTCACTGCAGTGATTTCTTTGAGGGCCTCTTTACTTTTACATTCTGGTTGGTGATTCTTCATGAGGTGCTTAACCTTAAATAGGTGGAAGGGGTCCAGCAGCAAACGGCGAGAGACGTAAAACTTTCAAAGCCAGAAGTCAAGGAAGTTCTCACGATCTACGCATCCTTTCGTCCAAACCATCTTCGAATTAGACAGACAAGCTCCATATGGCAAGTTTACAGAAGGTTCGGACCCTGCCGTCGATTGGCACGTCGATTGCAACTCCTATTTCTGTGCTGATCTCTTCCTCGGATTCGATATTAGGGTATTTCTTAACAGGCCTATTTGGAAAGGGAAATTCTTAAAAAAAGAAAGAGCGTTAAATTCGCTTTCCCTCCCATTTTCCTCTATACATTGAAGATATAGAAGAAATAAAAGAAATAGAATAAGGTTGCTCTATAAATAACAAAACAAAAAGGTATCATTTTAGCTCTACTTTGTTTGTTTTTGCGTTTTGCTTTTCCTTTTGATCTCAACCGAAAGCGGAAAAGGATTCTCGCATCGATCGTGATGGGACGGTGGAGACCGCCCCAGCAAATTACATGTTTCCCCCACGTCTCACTAAGAAGCCTCAAAAGAAAGTTAATGAAGATTTCCCTACCTCATGATAAGGAGCATGGCGAAGACTCACTTCATGAACACGGCAAGGTGGAGAGGCTAAAATATTGTTCGACCCGAAGTGGGATGAAAAACAGAGTATAGAGAGAAAGAAAAGTAGATAGCTAGACAGATATCCTTATCAAGAACCTCTTGCTCGGGTGCGTGGACCCCGTAGGTACATGCGCGTCCTTCGAGAGACGTGCCCAAGTAAGGCGAACTGACTGCTAGTTCGATCATGTAGCAGTTGCGTTCATTGTTGAAAGAGTTTCACGTGTCATTATCCGTCCAGATTCTTAGCTCCCCCGCTTCTCTCGGGCGAGGGAGGGAAGCGCTGGGCGGGGAACGAGGGTCTCAGTCTTTCTAATCACCAGCAACAGGAACATTTATTTAAAAAAAAAACATTGCAATGTCATCCATGCTTCTTGCGAATGAGGATAATGGAATGATGGAACTGGAGGACGTCGTTGGCTGAAAGTAATTTAAGTGCTAGAGAGAGGAAAGAGAGTAATTTCGTCACTATTCCCATAACTTCCGAAGCGAGAAAAATCCATGAATGGAGGCGTTGCTCATGTGGTTCTCAATATATGTTTCCATAATTCCATTCGCATTATAGAACTCTCCTCAACGCAAGCTGTCAAGTTGTTAGTTGCTTTTCATTTTCCATCCCGAGCATCATGGACTCTTCAAGTCGCGTCGTTCACATAACATGTAGGCAGCCAAGAAAATGTCGACAACTTTAAGCATCAGCATTCCTCTTGATTATCAATAGGCTTTGGTTGCGCTTATTACCTTTCTTCAACCCCTTCCCGTCACAAAATTCAACCTACTCGTACCAACCGTCTCTGGGAGAGTAAAAAAATGGAACAACAACGAAATTCGGCATGCTTCTTCCTCTCATAACACAGAATAGCTCCAGCAAATTTGAAGCTCCATCTCCAAGGGATTGTTGGAGAACACTGAATCCTCTCGCTTTTGGAAGATGTGAATTTCATTCCCCTTTTTTTTCTCCCCCCCCCCCCTATGCGTAGCCACTCCTTGGGGGGGGGGGGGGGGGGGGGGGGGGTTGAAAAAAGGGAAGGCCATTGAAAAAAGGGTTTCACATTACTTCA